TAATGTAATGTAATGTAATGTAATGTAATGTAATGTAATGTAATGTATGTATGTATGTGTTTGTGTGGGTCTGACCTGTGTTGGTGTGTGCAGCCGTGTTTTACTGCACTCTGTCAGTTAGACAAGCTAGCTCATGGATCCATGTGCACATATATGTATATAGTACGTATCTATTATATATAGCGTGGCCCGTGGCCGCCACTAACTAATCAGCAGATGTCCAAATCAAGTTCAATGGAGCAGCTCACTGTGTCTTTTTGTTTTTTAATCCGCTTGGCAACAACTCTGAGCACCCAAGCTAGTAAAGTTTCATGGGCACACGGGCACGTAAGTACGTAAGCAGTCCGTAAACCGTTTGGAACGTGGGTCTGCAAGCTGTTTCGTTTCAGTCCAGCCTTTGAAAGCCATCTACAGTGCTACCATTGACCCGTATATATATATATATATAGAGAGATCCCTTGGCAAAGACGAAGAACAAAGAACCATCACCATTCAGCTGCATCCAACATCCACCATACCAAAACCATCCGCTCCACTCGTCGCGGGTCCCGGGTCCAGGATGGTCCGGTCGCGGGCGTTCAGGAGGGAGGACGGACTCAGAGAGGGACACCCTCGAAGGAAGTGCTTAGGGCCAAAGACGAGACGCCAAAGAACTGGTGCCCCTCAAGACGAGACGCATGGATGCAGATGGATGCAGATGGATGCAGATGGATGCAGATGGATGCAGGATACCCGGGGCATGTGTTTTTTTCTTGGACGAACACGGAGTGGTTACCTGGTACCTGGTTCTCCACTCGGAAGGTGCAAATGCCATGAGGAGGTGGACTGAGGTTGAGGCCCCCGGACTTGGGTGGTACCCGGACTTGGGGGTTGAGAACGTGGTGAAAGGAGTGGTTGCAAACCAACGCAAGGGAATTTGACCATTGCGTCAGGTACGACTTTTTGCATTTGATGGGGAGGAGTCAACGGCGAGAAGCACACACCATGCGAAGGAGAAAAAGAGTGGGAGGTGGGTAGAGGTGGGAGCTTCCACACTGGCCGAAAACTAGGAGGTCCTAGTAGATTCCTTTGCTAGTAATTACAATTCTAATTACATTCTTATTGTTACTACTAGTAAGGCACTTGTTTCTAGAAAAGGAAAGTAGCTTCAAGGTGTCAACATGTGTGAACTTTCACACTATGTTTAGTCGTATCAAATATGAGTCTGCTCGGTCAATGGAGGTAAGGTCCCTGCTAGGCAATCAGCCAAAGACAGGGCTGGGGGAGGGAAACCGATTTAGTTGAGGTGCTTCTGACATGCCTATATAGGCATTGAGCCGATTGGAAGGAGTTTTTTTCTTTTAACGACACTAGGTTCTGACTGCGAAGTTCGTTTGGCTGTGCTTCTCGTCTCAGACAGCATCAGGGCCCCAAAGGGGCTGCTAGGCTGATGCTTGGGGGACGCGAAGCAATGCGAAGCCCTCAGAGGCTTCCATGGGATGAAGAGCTGTTCTCTTGCAGCGAAGCGAAGCCAATCCGGTGCTAGTTGGCCCAGAGCCGCTAAGGATTCGAGGGAGAGGGACAGAGACTGATGATACATAAACGTTACCATGTATTTCAAGGAGCAATCGAATAGAGAGAGAGAGAGGTGCTTATTCCATGTAAGGTTACCACAATTACTGCACGGTGTGTTTCGACAGAGTGCATCTCGGTCCATTCCTTCTTCTTAGCCTGTTGGATAGATGGTCGAGCTGGTGCCGAGTCAGAGCCGAAAGGGGCGTATCCATCTTCTCCACTCAACGACGGGAGCCGAACTCGAGGGGAGTTCCCCAAACCCGGCTGCTAGTCGTAGAGAGGTTTTCAGGGAAAGACTCCACACCTCCAAGGCTCATCCCAACCAGGCACCGCGTGCGACACTCATCCCAACTGCCGAAAGGGGGAGCGCAAGCTCTCCCGGGAGAACGAGTTGGTGCAAAACCTCGCAAAACGTCCCAAAGTTGGCGTTCGATCTGACCGGTCTGGAGAAAGGAGTTGAGTGAACCAGGAGAATTGGTCAGATTGTCCAGTATAAACAGCTATCATCATAGCATGCATCAGCTGTCTTCCAGGATCTTAGGCAGCTTTGCCTGTATATTTATATACAATTTATATAAATAACCCTTGAAGATGGTCCGAGAATCGGAGGTCTTGCCGAAGAGGGTTGCCGTTTCGTTCTTTCAAAGCCCTTGCAAGCCTTGCGACCCTGTGGCACCGATAAAAAGAACACCATATATCATTCCCCTCTCCAGGAGCCAATCCAATGAGACACGAGATGACACATGTGCCAGGTTGTTTCGGACTCCTTTCATCATGGTTTTGCCACCGGTCGATCGCGGTCGGTTGGAGCCCATCGTCGATCGCTCCAGGCGGCCGGTGGTGATGTCGTCCACCAGGCACGGTTGGGGGAGCGGGGAAGCCACATGACCAGAGGCCATTTTGAGGTGCAAAAACACCGGAAAAAGCAGCGGTTCAGCATCCGAAATCGGGTGCATCGCTTTTTGGAGATGTTGTGCAACGTTGGGACCTTGTTGGGTTTACCAACCAGCTGCCTGTAATACCAATCGCTGGGATACCAAGCTCTATCTTTCCTTTGAGCCTTCTCTATAGCGAGACACTGCAATGTTTGGCACCTGCTGGATAAGGATCTGAGGACGCTTCCGGCATCAGTTGACTCAGAACGTTGACTCGGAATTTGGTCCCAACTGGTGGGTTTTTGTGAAGCTATTTCCATGTTGTTTTGTGGTTCATCTCACCGACTTTAAGGGAATTACAATGGAATCATGTCTGGAGAGGCAAGGGTGTCTGAACAATTTGCACCCGAAGCCCTCAGCAAGCATGGACATGAAGAAGAACATCATCGAGCCCCTGGTTCTTCAAAGTGACCTTTTGATAACCTGGTTTGAGGTCACTTAAGCCTCCTAAGGGTCACTTAGGAACCTTCAAAAGGTCACTTTGAAGAAGCTGGTCAACCGCCCATTTGGTGATTTTCAGGAACCCCAATGAGATCCCAGCGAAAAAAGATGAGATCAAGTGGGCACATGACCAAGTCTGGAGAGGAAGCCCAAGAGTGTTTGATGTTAATCTTTGGCACTGTATCTTCTTCTTCTTCGGTCACTGTGTAGCTGGAAAGTGCTCAACAATACCTGTGCAAACTTTCCACCAAAACACATACATAGCATGCAGGATCGAGTCGCTTGATCAACTCTGAATTCCTGAAAAGCTTTCCAATAGCCCAGGAACTGTCCCGATGACTGGCTTGCCCGAGCCAGGAGGAGAACGCACCCAGCAAGCCGGAGCCGAGCACTTCGGAGCCGAGCAAGCCGGAGCCTGCCAAGCAGGATGCTGAAGTGAAGCAGGCGTGGCTTTTCGATGGGTTTTAGTGATATCTAACAAAAAGAAGTGGCAGGGGATGTCCTCAACCAGTCAGATGAACAGCTCTTGGCCAGCGACAATGGTGATGATCAATATCAACTTCTTCACCTGTC